GAATGGCGAACAAATTAAGGCACTCGAATTATCATTCCAGCAACGAAGCCAAATTCCTTGCCATTGTCAGCGCTCAATCTCGATCTCCAATCTCCCGTAGATTCCAAACAAACAAACCACTCGAGGCGGAGAACAGATCCCAAATACCGAAACCCTGGCACGTAGCAAAATCTCCAAATAGAATGCCGCCGAAAAAAACAGTGCCTGTAAGTGGTTCTATATCAATGGAGCTTTGAAAACTATAGCACGTACGTCGTACGAAGTTGAACGAAAAAGTTTAGGTGTGAAAAACTGTTGACCGCCTTGGTTCGCCCTCTCCACCTCTTAAATTTTTCCTCATTTTTTCCATACAAATCACCGGGCTGCCTTTCTAAGTTGGTTGTGTTTCTGTTTCTGTTTTTTGTAAGGTCTCAAGTCGCCATGGTAATGGTGTTGATTGAATGTCTGGAGACGGAGTAACCGAACTGAAGTACTGTAGTAACCGGAGGATCGTGTGGGCCTTTGGTTTTGTGGCTTTCTGAGTTTTCGGGCTTTGGTTTTTCCTTTGCCACGATGTCGTGCTGCCATTGTTCGCATTAGTGTTGCATATTAAGTAATAGAACTGTTTTTCCTCGCTCCCTATCTGAATCTCGAGGTCTGCTCCATCTGAGTCTGTCTGCCTTCCAACTTGCGGTGCTGCCAAGTGGCGCAATGTCCCGCAACCGAAATATTAAGTGAGTTGTGGCCATTGAAATGCAGGTTGGGAGTTAGAATTCGGTGGTGGTAAAAGGGATTGGTTGCATTTGTATTCTACATTTAACGGTGTGTGTTTAAATGGAGCAGATAAGCAGGGTTCCTAATCAAATATTCCTCATTACTTCACTTGGCTTTCCAAATTCTATAAGTCTTATAATGTTTAAATTTGAATTTTAAATCAATTTGAGGTAATTTCTTTTCTCTGACATAACGAATGCCATCCATAAACTCTCTCCCTAATCACACACAATATCAAAATGATTATGTAACCTTAGCCTACACCCAGAAATACATAATTCACGATTAGATCTGTCGCTCAAACGCCGCAAATTTCTATGCATTGTAATTTTCCGCATAATTTTGCTCAGCTCTTGTCTGTTTGTCTTTTTGCTTTGGCGAATACAAAGAATGGCCAAACAAAAGCCAGACATGGAAACACAACATTTTGCCGCACGCTTCAACGACAAAATGGTCAACAATCTTGGCTTAGTTTTGTCGGCCAGAGAGCTGCCTATTGTTGTTGTAATTACAATGGCATAAGGTATATAGCCGAAGCTATAGCTGTTCTGGTTGTCGTGATTTATTGTGTGAACAACAAGGTTTCTTCTCCCGAGCTTCGCTTGTCCGTTTGTTCTGCCTCCGCATATTTGCATATTCTTTTTATTTGGCACTGTTGGCTTCATTTGGTCCCGGCTGCCACTTCAAATTGGGCGTGTCCAGATATCATAGAAGCCGTATGTATTGTACACCCTCAAAGCCCAGTGGGTGCCCAAGTGTTTGGAGCTGTATAAGTGGATAAGAATTGGCTTCCATCGAACGGGAGGTTCAATGAACCAAAAAGCCCTGCAGTTCTCGAGTGTTATTAAAGCAAATAACACTTGAGGTGACCCATCAGGTTGCCAGCCACCGTCAATCAAGAGTTATAAAGAGTTGAATGGCTTTTGAAGAGTCTGCCGACGCCAACGCTCAGAAATCCCAATCCGAATCCCAAATACTTCCCAATAACTGATGCCTTAATGTGCGGATTACTTAGCGAAGGAGCAGCAGCCTCGCAAGATGCCAATTCATTGTTACCCGCTGCCTTTCCCGCCACTCATCGCTTGACATTTTTATTAAAAACGCAGAGTCCACGAACGATCTGCAATCAGGCGATCAGCAATGTCTTCTGCACAAAGGGCATATTTTATGCCTGCCGCTCGTTAAGAGACCGCTTCTTCTGCTTTTGCCGCTTCACTCAGAAAAAATAACTTTCTTGTTGGCCCTTGAAATTCAAAAATGGAACGTTGATTTTCCTCTAAAGCGGAGAGTTAGTTTTTTAATTAAATTACGCCATGCTTAAGGTGTAAAAAAAATAGAATTTCACTCTGAAAACTCCCGAGTTAGACAATGTTGTAAGCCAAGTCAAAAATCACTCCGTTATTTTTAATGCTTTTTAGATCCTTTATTTAGAAAATGAATCCCCTTATGACTTTAAAAACTCAGAAATAATTTCATATTTATGTATTAAAGAAATGTAGTTTTTCTTTATATACCTATTAATATTTTTTACCATTTATAGTGACAAAGTAGCCTCAATTCCAAGGCAAAAATCACAATATTTATTAAATTATTTCTCTGAGTGTTTGGTTTGTTTGTTGTTGCAGTCAAATTGCCAGCTTTTCTTGTTGGTACTGCTTTTGGGCATCATTTCCTGCTTAAATGGCCGCTGCCACCGAGCATTCAGCTGAAGTTGCGGGCAAGAAGAGACTCCTCTGCATTCCCTGGAGAAACATATATATTTATAGGGCTGCCTGATGAACCGTAATCCCAAGGATAACTGCATATTTTTATTACAGGTTTCCATCCCTCTGTTGTTGTTGTTGTTGCCGCAGTAGCTGGCCCATAATTTCCAGTTACAAAAGACCACAAAGGAAACGAATGACTTAAGACACAAACTTGTTTTCCTTGCCGAACATCCGTGAATGGCACATTAACGTAAACGTCTATGCTGCCAAAGTTTATATTGTGCTTTTAAACTGAGAAGCCTCTAATTTTACATAATAAACAAGGATCATTTATGGGTGGCCGAAAAATTAATAACTTATAGGTAAACAAAAGTTAATCGCCTTTTGAATTTCCTGCCCTCAGCGGATATTTCCCTAACCAAAATGGGTTAATGGGCAGCTTAACCCCATTGACTTCCCCCTCGCAAGCTCATTTAACAGCAGAAAAATGACAAAAATCCGAATCAACGTAATGGCAAACCGCAGCAATACACCTTGAAAATCGCCTACCAATTGGTATTTCTCTTTCTCTTGCCATTTTTGGTAATATAATTTTGCGAGTCAAAAAGGTTTAATGACTGTAAATTGAACCGAACTGCGAGCGGGGTTTAAATTTGCACTTTGCAACACAAAACGGAAATGCCAGACGGCTCAGAGAACGAGCAAATGGGTCAAGGATTTAGGCCCATTTATCCACACTCCATTGGCTTCGCTTTCTGGGCAGGGCGCAAAGTTCAAAATGCAGAATGGACACACACACCTGGTCTCAGTTACCCGACTCCGCCTTTGCTGTACTGCGCTGGCTCAAAACATTGGCGTTGTGTCACTGGGCCAGAAACCATTAGCCAAACATGTGCCACATATAAACTTCAGCCAAAACCACCGGCCCAACGGGTGGTCCCATTCAAGTGGCCATGGCTGTGCAGCGGCAGTGTCTATCTAACTATATCTTGTACGCGGGTGTCTGAGTCAACTTTTGGGTCACTGGGCGGCATGAATCACGGCGCTATTATGCGGGGTCAGAGTTGCATTTGATTGGTTATTAGACTGGGTTAATTGAGTGATATGTGGGAAACGCGATATCGTTATTGATCGCACTGTTTGATACCCCTTTGCGTTGCATAACATATTTTAAGCTCTTTGCCCTGCGCTAATCTCTATATTTGCGGCGACTTTCGCCCCTTTGGCGAACACTTCCGTTTAGTGTCAACGCTTTCTTTTTGCCAAAAACGAAATTAATTCATAATTTCAGCTTTTGTTTGCGATTGAAGCGACCGGCTGCCAAATTGTCAAATTAGCGGGGAGTTCTGCTCGAGTGGCTTTCCTAAACTGCGCCTCCGCCACCAAAGTGACCACCACCTCGTGCCGACTTGGCCAGCTTGGAAGCCATAAAACTAAAAACAACCAACCGACTCGACTCGACTGGCACAGTTGCAACAAGTTAGTGACGCGAAAGTGAAACGAACGAAAACGAAGCGAATGCCAACAGGCGGGGAAAACAGAGCCAGAAATCCAGCCAGAAATTAAAAAGAAAAGCGAAAATGTGCACGGAAAATCGAGTGCGAAGCGAGCCAGCGAGAAGTAAATGCGTTCAATGCACTTCGATGGGGCGTGGCATCATATCGACAGGGGCTTGAAGTCTTGCCTTACTCTGACTCACGGCCCAAACATTTGGCTTTGTCTGCATGCGCAAAGCAGCACAAATAAAAGGGTAGACGCATTTTTGTACAAGTGCGGAAATCGTAGGTGTAGCCAGCCCATACGAAAATGCCAAAAGCAACCCACAAAACGAAACTAAACAAAGCTGAAGCTCTGGAAGTCGGTGATTAATGAGAAATTGTGCAGTGTTACAAGCAAACCGAGGAGAAAGAGCATGGGAGCAATCAAAATAAGCTTATGAGGGGCAAAAACCAGATGAGGAAACTCGATGGATAATTATAGGAAATGTTTTTCGTTCTCTTGTCGGACTTAGGTAACATTTTAATTAAATTGACTAATATTCCTCTCCCTTATGTTCCTAACAATTAAATGACTCAATCTTTTGGAATACCCACAACTTGTCCCACCATAAAAGCGCCCACTTTCCAACCGCAGTCCAACCTCCATTCCACCGCAATTCAAAGAATGCAGTGGAACTTGCCAAATTAACATACAAAACTCATTTTTATCAATGGAGTCTCTCCTTCGCCCAGAACACACCCCGAAAGAGCCACAAAATAAATACCAATGCAAGATAATTGCAGAGGTTTGTGGGGCGATGCTGGAAATAATTCAAAAAGTCAAGCAAAAATGTCAACCACTTCAGTTGGTTGGCTAAAGTTCGATTTTGGCTTACCACCCAGTGACATTTAAGCCGAGTGCTTTAACCAATTCAATGGAAGTTCACTTCGGTGTGGTTAGAACAAGATATTGGTTTTAATTTTTATTTGGTTAATGATCCCTGACAAAAAGTGGTTCGACCTTCGATTTTAAATTCCTTTATCTCAGGCACAAAGTATCAGATGTCAAGTGAAAAATATGTTTATTAAACATAATGATGAGTATTGGGTTACGGTTAAACTAATACCATAGAAAACAAAAATCATACAAAAAAACATTTAAGATTGAGTTATAGCTTCAGCGCTTAAAATAGAAAATAAGGTTGTCCAAATGAAGAAGTTATATGTGAAAAACAAATAATAAATACTGAATCCGTTTGAGTTCATCCCAAGAAATATTCCATGACCCTGAACTTGGGTTTGATTATGTTTATGTTTTATGATGAGAAGTCCGGCTTCTGGTCAATTGTACAAACCTGAAAATAAACAAGAAAACCACAGTTTTAGTTTGCTACATAAACTAATTATAATGTTGCACTATAAACAACAAAAATAAAAGCACTCATTAAAAATAAACAAAGGCAAATTTAATTACTTTAACGGGCGTGAAATTAACATCAAGAGAAGAGAGCCCGCTGGGTCAGGTTCTTTGGGTGTGGTGAACATAACAGAGAAACATATAAAAGCTTAAAAGAAACAAAGCAAGGTCGCTGAAACTGGGATGCACTTTGAATAAAATGAACTAGTTTTGAAGGTCATTCCGTTCAAGAGATATGGATAAGGCTATCTAAAGTAGAAAGTAATAAATTGTTAACGAATTACTTAATTTTTAAGCCAGCCACTTAATACTTATAATAACTTTTGTATCACTTCACCATGGATAACCCGAACCACATGATAAACATCCATCTACAATCAATCAGCTCTTGTAATGGAGCCAACCCATTTGTAAGCCGATATAGCACCACATTGGGTTAACCATCGTTGGGCAATATAACCGCATCTCGGCCAGCTGTTGCAGCCGCAATGGGCCACATTTACTACATATAATTGCTGTTCCAATAACCCCTAACCCAGAGGCACAAAGCACACACAAGAGATGCCAAACAGCGGCAGCAAATTGTGACTCGTGCCAACAAACAACCAGATATATTAAACTGTCAAACAAAATCATAAATAAGCCAGCCAAATAGTGGAAAACACACCCACTCTTTTGCAAAAGAAAATAAACACACTTGGACATGACATGCAGCAGGGGAAAATTGCAGTGGAAATGCAGCGGAGAAAATTGGGGGAATATGAGTGCATATTAAGTTATTGTATCTGCTTGCTGCCCCTCAACCTACGCGACCCAAAATGTTGCTGCTGGCCCCAGTCAACCACAAAACAACTTCAACACAGGCAACACGCCAGGCCAAGAAATGCGTTCGTTGCTGTTTTTGGTAATAAACGAAGCGTTAAACAAATTGCATTACAACAACCAACCACCACCAACATAGAAAACACATTTTGTTTCTTTCTGATTTGTTGTTTACCATATGCAAAGCGTCATAAATGAGGTTGCCTGTTGATGTTGCTGTTGTTACTGGTAACTGGTTGCTGCCTTGGGCGTAATTACATCTCCAGCCAAAAATGGTCAAACGAGCGAGAAAATTATCACATATAAAACCAGCATTGTTGTTGTTGTTGTGGCGGCAGAAATGAAATGCAAATTTTGTCTGATAAAGAAACATGGTTACAGCAAAGAATTGCATAATCAGGAAATTTAAAACTTTTCGGTTGTCTTGAGCGACGGAAATTAAAATTGCTTTCGATGATTTGACATTTGATAGACAATTTGAATATTTTTGGTAGGCCAATTAATGATGGAATATTTTTCGCTCCATTATTAAGTTGTGTGGCGTGCATTTCCCATTTCTCATTTTGCTGCAGAGCAACCACTCCTAGAAATCCATCACATATGCACGACCACAATGGGTGGAGAAACATGTTCCAACTACAGAAATTAAAGCAAATGCCATGGACAGCTAATTCAAACACACATAAATCAATGAACGCCAAAGTCGAAGGCAACCCAGAAATCGGGGAGGTAAAAATGAGTAAATTGCACAGCAATAATGGAAAATAATAATAGACCAATGGATTGCAAGGAGGCTTGGGGATAGAGATACATTTAATCATGTGAATGAAATAAAATCAAAACTAAATGACAAATTTTTACAACAAAGAGCATAAAAAGTGCCTCAGCAAGTGAAACTATTCAAAGTAATTTAGTGGCACTGTAATAGCATCTATCTCATTATCTTGACCTCAATAATAAACACTTTAAATTAATTATAATAACAATTTCAATTAGCTGTAAGCAATTTGAGTCACAATAAAAAGAACTACCAGCACCTAACAACTAATTTAACTAGTCATTAAACGACATTTATATGTTCATGCGAATCCAACTATTAATCCATGGAACTAAATTATGATCTGCGATGAAATCCGACAGTGAAAATGGCTGAAAAGTGCAATCAGCTAGCATTGAAACTGCGCAAGACAGCACTAAATGGACACATTAGTCCATTAGCCGGCGAGTCTAGTTGGTGGCGTTAGCGTGTGCCCCAAAAAGGTGCGTCCGGCTCTCCAGGTGTGCGTGTCACCTTAGTGGCTTTGGGTTGGGTACAGCGTGAGTAGAGTACAAGTAAGAAAGTACTTATGTCTGATTGAAGGTTAAAGCTACGAGATACGCCATTAAGGCAGCAGACTGCATCTGTACAGAATCGCAATTTGGGTTGCTGACTTCATTCCGCAACAACGCTTAGGTTGAATGAACCATGGAGCCCCTTAAACGCCCACAACTTTTGCGAGGGAGTTGGCTTGGCCTAGCCAGACGAATATGTTGCCAAGCCGCCGAGTTCAAAGCGAAGCAGCTGTCAACAGATGCGACAGATAAGCCAAATGGAAACCGAAAACCCAGACTCTAGAGTCTCATAATTTTTGCTGGCTGATCTCGAGCAAGAAATCTACAATTGCGGAAAGAGAAAAAGGCAATAATTGTGTTCGGGATACACGTGTGGCAATAATAGACTCTTGTTAACGCTATAAAGACATCTCCCTATATTTCTCCCCAAGAGCCGTAAATCCATGAAGGTACAGTCATAAATCTTCGAAGAAGCATGTTCTTAGTGCAACCAAGATACAGGCAAGCAATTTGTCATATGACTAGCATTGGATTTATCAATGGTTTACCAAGATGAAGAGAAGAGGAAAATGCATATACAGGTGCATGTACAGGGAAACGAATCGAACAAGTTGATCCGCCGACCGGATGATGCTTCGTTTTCGTTTCTGTTTTTGTTTTTCGATGGCATTTATCTTGACCCGAAGGCAACGTGAAGTTTTCATGGCTCATGGCTCGAATATTGCGAGCGTCGAACTGTAAAGTTATGAAGAAGAAACTGAAGCTGGTCGGGAGCGGAAACTTACGTTTAAGGTTACGGGTACAGGGCCAACATCAACTGCTGCAACAACTCACCAGGTACTAGACATCTTTAGGTTTGTTAGGAACAACATCGTCGCCGACGATCTTCAAGCTCTCGAAGTATTCGATTAAATGCGTTGGATATAAATCCTTGATTTCCTCGATAAGCACTGCATCCATAATCGAGCAGCCCTTCCAGGTGACAAACAGGAAGAAATGGTCGCGCACCCGAAAGCTGTGGTGCACCTTTTCCAGTTCCAAGCCGCGGCTTAATCCAAACGGTGCCTTGCGCTCCGGCACTCTCCAAGCCTCTCTTTTCTTTCTGGACTTGCTGCCCTTGCGTCCCGAAAACGAAGTGGCGCTGGCCATGTTGGATGCCTGCTGATCCTCCGACGTATTTTTCTTGATATCCTTCTTGGCATCGGAGCAGCCGGGTAACTCAATTTCGGTTATCTGCTGCTGGTCTAAGAGCAGCATGGCCACATCCTCGTTGTCCTTCGTCTGGCTCATCCGCCGCATCGACGACTGGCTGTCTTTCTTTTCCTTTCCTGGCGCCTGCATTACTGGCACGGGGAAGTTCAAGTTGCTCTGCTGCTTGGAAAGATTTCCATGTATCTGTGGTGGACCCGATTTTTAAAAGATAATCTTTTATTGGAAATACAACCCTCACTAAAGGAACACCCGTTTCATTACTAGAACTTAAATTAGCATTTATAGATAAAATTTGATTGTTCTAAATAAATTAATCTAGCATAAGAAACGACATTGAATTTAACGAAAAAACTATAAAAATAGATGTAATCTAAAATTCAGATTATTAAAGTATTTTGACTATTAAAAAATAATATTAAAATGGCAAGTGAATATTTTAAAAGCTTGCTCAGAATCATCGGACGAAGAATATTCTGGTTGAGTTATCCTAGTAGTTTTGGTTTTATTTCCATATATAAAATGTACTTTTCTTACACGCTCTAACTCTGAATCGATGGAATCTTCATTTTCGTCGATTATGTTAATCGACAATTTCTGCTTCCGATTCGGTTGGCCGAGGCATTCGTCGGACTCAATGGAAATATTAGGCTTAGTGTTCTCCGGCGGAAGAGCCTCGTTGCCACCTACTAGACCGCCAAATTTTGCCACGGTCTCCAACTTGATAGCCTCATCCTTGAGTGCGGCCAGAGATTTATTTTCCTCGTCTTCGGACAAAGACAAGACACTCGACAGTGATTCTAAGGACGTCACCGAACAGATTGATATTGTCGACGAACAAGAGGACATATCAGAATCGAATTTCTTGTTTGAATTCTGGGCTAGATCGGTTTCTCGACGTCGCGTGAGTTCTTGGACCACAGGCACCAGTTTGCGTGGATTGCTTGCCTTTGGAGTTTCTTGTTTTGGTGATCCAGCTGCCCCTTTGAAGAAAAGGGCTGTTGCTAATGGTGTGTCATCGTCACTGGATTCGCTTAAGTCCAAATCGTTTGAAAAGAGTTGGTCAATAGGAATCTTTACCGTCCAAGTTGGCGAGTCAGGTGGTTGACGATTACAGATTTCCCTAGAACCATCGCTAGCACGGCTACAGCTAGGCATCTCTTCATAAGTTTTGGGTAGATTCTTAATAGTTGCTATCGGATCAGCCTGTTTGCCAATTTCTGGCTTTCCTTTATTGTTCGGGTATGATTCCTTCTTGGCCTGTTTCAATTTGGGCGTTGCCTGCAACCCGCTGGTAGCGGGACTGGGCTCCAAGTCCTTTTCGAGTTCCGCAGAGATTTCCCGCTGGCGCTGCACATTCAGCCGCCTGAAGAGCTCCGCCTCGAAGTCCGTGACAAGGGAAACGCAGTTGCCTAGGTTTTCCATCGGCTCCCAGGTGTTTTCCTCGTCCGGAAAGTCAACCCATTTTATCAGCAGCTGGGGACGCCCTGAGACGTAGCGCTTGCCTACGATTTTCTCCACCACGTACTCTTTGGGAGGCGTAGCGGCCTTGTGGCGTTGAGTGGTTTTGTGACCTCCGCCAGACATGTTGCTTGATTGAAGGACGACGCAAAAGAGGGAAATAACATGCCACAAAGAATAAAGCTTCGGCGGAGCTGCCAACTTAATCGAATTGCCGTTAGGGATGGCAGGGCTGGTATTTTTTATTGACAGTGCGCCTATTCGTGGAATTCATGGAACGATCGCCAATGGACATGATTTTCGAGTAAGCGCAGCCAAATATAAGTATCAACTAATCTAGTGCTAAACTGAAAAAAGAGATGGGCAAGCTCCGTTGAAAATCAGTTGAGGAAATAATGAAAATGTACTTTGAGATTTCGACATTTTTTTCGGTATTTTTATTACGAATTTCGATTTGTTATCGTCCTTACGATTGAAATATATCCCCATCCTTATGAGTTGCCACGTGCCATTTGACCCAAAGCCCCATCTTTAATAGGGGAATTACCTGACTTAAACTAGATTTCAGATTAAGTTTAAGGCACAGTTTTTATGCTTATTAATAGAAATCAACGAAATCTATACGCCCTCTTAAGGGAATACGCATACGATCGTAGTTTTTCGAGGAACTTGATTTCAGCAAAATTGTCTCAAAACCAAAAAGCAATGGACCAGCCAAAGTATGTTACCAATGCCTACTAACTATTTGAGAAATTGCTCCTTTTTAAAGCTGACCATTATATAAAAAGCCGCTGGCCAGGCGGCCGTTGCACCTGTTTTTTGTTTTGGTTTACTAGACGCCGAATAAAAACTCGTTTTGAAGTCGAGTGCAGTTAACCTGAGCGGAAACAATGTTGATCGCTGTGGAAATGCGAATGTGTTTTAATTGGCCATTGGCAAAATCTGCGCTTTTCTTTTCAGGCCACAAAAATCGCACATTGTCTATGTAAATTCGCTTTCCACTGCCATAAAGTTCGAGTCGAGTTGGACAACAATGTCATTGGCATGTTTCCCATCATTACGGCGCACAGAAAATGCCAATTTACATGAGTATGTAAACTAGCAATTATTTCCACAGAGTCTGCATCTGGCCAAGAGATTTATTCATTGAATTAAAGCCGAAGAAATGCGTCACGTTCGGCCAGTCGGAAAAAGTAACGGCTCTGTGACAATTCGAAAAAGTGCGCAATTTCGGACAGGTCTCAAAATCTGATTTGAAATACAGTCACACTTCCGTTAAAGGAATAGATTCAGTAGAAACTTTTGTCTGTAAAACTAAACTTTGAGAATTACAAATATAAATTTGTGAGTCAAAAAAAAAAATGTATTATTATTATTATTTCTTTTGAAGAAAACCTATGGAGTTATAGAAGTGGGACATCAATAACAATTCGAATGTTCAAAGGTCACTGAGTAGTTTTAAAATCGGGTACGTGCTTATACGTAAAGTCAATTTTCTTTCATTCACAGAAATTCGACTGGGCAAGTTCGAGCTATAGAAGTGGCACTGTAAAAGTCAGCCAACCTGTTGCCATTACTGTTATGATTTCGAGCGCAAAACTTGTGCCGCAACTTTGCCATGTGCACATGTACAAACTCGTACATTTCTTTCACTTTCTTTCGGCACAACGGCAGCGGCGGCGAATTTATTTTAATTCGATAGAGTTAACAACTCGGTACATGGCGGAATAAAAGTGAAACCGGCGACAACAAGGGCAGCTGGAAGGGTCTTGGTCTTTCTTTCTGGGGCTTTCGTTCAAAGTCATCCGGCGGCTTCACTTTCGTTTTCATCGCTATATTACAAAATACACAAGCGACAGGCAGACATGTGTATATCTTCAGTATTTAGTGTTTAATTTGCATAGTGGAACGCCAAGAAACTGGAAACTTGTTTTCCCATTCTGCTGCTGGTTGTTTTTGGCCGAAACACGCGCGACAAAAATGTTTCTGCATACAAAAATGCTGCTAGCCGATTTCCATAAGCTGTATTTCTTGATTTCTGCTATGAAATGATTTAAGTCAAGATATGTACATACATATATACATATAGGTGGCCCATAGAAACGATGCGGTGTGATCATCGCTTCATTAGCAAGTTAATTTTATTAACGCTGCTTTTGTCTCTCGGTTTTTGCTGGTTTTTATAAGGCCCCGAAAAAGATTCCGTCTCGGATTGCGCATCCATTGGCCAGAAGAAAGGCTGGGTATTGATGTCTTATGCAACAGATTTAGTTTTAATTTGTTTGTTTGTTTTTTCCAGCCTTTTGTTACTTTTTTGTTCGGCTTTGTTACTGATTAATTCAGCGATGGAGATTCGTGATAATTGTGTAAATATTATGCCAAGTTGACGTGACACTGCTGCAAGTTCAATGACACTGATTTTACCACAAAGTCACTAAAGGCAAGGCCAAATCTGTGCCAAGAATTCTTTAACAATCAAGTCCCTTTAACTTTCGAACAGTTAACCCCATATTTAAACAGGCCTTCGAGGCGGCCAAAGTTTTATTGACATTAATTTACTGACATTTTAACACTCTTGAGGGAAGAAATGAAGTCATGACAATGCAGAAGCACACTCTCTTAAACTGGTTATTCAGAGGTGAAATTGTTACTTGTAATATTTTTGTAAGTCTTTAGGAAACCCAAATACGTATCAAATTTAAGAACTGGGATTGTAATAATTAATAATACGAAACATAACGTGTTTTATAAAGACATATGATTAAAATTTGTTCAAACATCTTTCTCAAATACCCCATCCTCTATCTTTTATATTTTTTTCTTTCTGTGCAGCCATTAAAAGGTGGCCAAAAAAGGCCAAAACCGTCGACATTTGCCAGTCAAATACTGAAAAACCCCCAGGGCATAAAAATCAACTGCAGGTGCAACCAAATTTGTGCCTGCCAGTTGATCAAGTAGTTATTTGTCAGACACTTTTTCGAACTGAAAATTGTTTGTTTTATCACGGCTGACATCTGCTAACTCTCCGGAAGTTTTAGACGTGTTTTTGTTTTTCTTCGGGCTTTAATACTAGGCATCCGTTTCTTTTTTCGTGACAATTTAGCAGCAGTTGTCTTTAATTTTGAGATTTTAATTTTGAACACGCATTTACTGTCGTCGTTCTTCTGATTCAGACCTTCGGAGAGTTCCGGCTTGTAAAAGACACCGATCTCACGGCTTAAAGACGCCGCCACCGTCGAGATAAATTAGCATGCAGTGAATCAGACAGACTTTTTGGGGTTTTCTTGGCAAGACCGAAATACTGTGCCCCGACAAACATCGGCGAATCTGACTTAAATTTAGTTTTTTGTCTTCTGGCCCATAAGACATCATCAAATAAAAATCATATGTAAAACTCACTCACCTTGTGCAAAGCAGCCGCAGATGGTGACGAAGAAAAAGAAGCTGCGGCCGAGAAGCAGCGACTTCGACGTCGATGGCGACGTCGACTGAGACATTTTCGTTACTCCTCGGAAAGCCTTATCCAAAGTGTTTTTGGCTGTGTAATTTGCAATTTGACTCTTTTCTTATTTAACTTGTTGTTTCTTTTGTTTCTGCCTCGGGCGTTTTGTAAATTATCGTTAAATTATTTGTTGTCCAGTATTTGCATTTTGTTGCTGTGTTGTATACGTTTTATTGATGGCTTTGCTGGCGGATTTAGTCAAGAGCGAGAAATTGTTTTTGGGAGGACGGGTCAGACGGGTTTCTTCTGAAAGGCATTCAAAACATTTTGCGTTGTTTTGGAGATACCGTTAAAATATAATTAATAATAATGTATTTTCTTTCCCTTAGCTGTCTTCTCCACTTGATTCGGCCTAATGGAAGAGTTCAAGGCTGAAACGCCAACGTTGCGTATGATGGATAACTAGAATTCTGTGTGAGTAGGCTAAGTTCTCTAAATGGTTAATGACATTGGACTGTTCTGAAGTTTCTTTTAAGTTCTTCATCTTAAGACAGGGCAAATATGTGTAATTAAAAAAAATACGAACAAATTAATTCCCCAAAAATCCCCTTTTTTGAAAGCCTATACTTTTCTTTTTCGAATTATCCACTAATTCCATTTTGTTGTTAAATTAAATGGCATGTGTTCTTGCTCAATATTTTCTGAGAATTGTTGAATTTATAAGCAGCTTTTAATTGGTATTTGCAACAACGATTCTTTAAAATAAAATTCAAAACAATCTTTGGGGATTCCCCCTCTAGAAAGACTAGATCTTGTGATTTATTTCTTCCTGTCCAAATTAGTCACTGATTATTTATTTTTCGAACACTCTAAATTGGTTTTTTAATTTATGTACTCTTTAATGGTATTAATTTCGAGTTGATTTTCGGCAACGTTTCTTTTTGTTTAACTCGTTCAGCACGCGAGCAAAAAACTCCCAATAAATTTTCACTTGTTGCTCGAGCACTCTGTCAAAAAAATAATGGCAACATTCACCTTGAATCAGTCTTTGCTATATAAACACGAAAGCATATAATATATCTTGGCTGGAGGTTTGCTTTTTTGTTTGTATTCGGTTTTTTCTTGCAATTATTTATGCGATTTTGTCTTTGATTAGTTTGTTTTCCGTTTGTCTTGGGCAGGTGAGAGGTAAAACTTCTGGAAACTATCGCATTTTATCAGCCAACGACCTTGGCTTGCGTAATGCCAATTAAATAATTAATAATTCTTAATTAAGTCTTTGAATGGACTTCACTGCACAATTCTTATGCATTTATGGCGGTTTCTAATTGGAGGCCAGCCAGGGGGTAAAACTTTATGTTAATTCCACGCTCGAGAATCTCAATGCTATATACATATATGTTATATCGCTAAATGGAAGTCCATATTGTGCGGCTTAGGAAATCGAGTCCAAGTCCGGTGGGCACAGTGGGACCTCCGTTAATTGTTGTGTATGCAAAAACGAGCTTTCGATGCAAAGTGAAATTTTCCGTGGGTAATCAACGATTGGTTTTGTGGGGGGCGGAGGTTGGAGGAGGGGGCGTGGTCACTTTTTATAACGCGTCGTGACAACGGTAATGCCAAACTACATGCTTTGCATACGTAAAAACCAACGAAAATCCCGAAAAAGCGATAACCGAAGACCGAAATTCAAATCGAAACCCGCTTGTCAGCAAATCTCCGGACGCACTTGCTCCGCCGCGAAAGAGACGGGTATAGGCGGCGCGAAAGAGAGGGGTTGTCCCACGGCTCACTTACATATCACCCACTGGACGATATTGTTTTGATTTGGGTTTACAATTGAAAGACATTCACTTGGCCAAATGGTGACTTTTGATCGGGGATCGGTGATCGGCGACCGGCAGCAACAACCGAACTGAGACGCGCTTCGAATCGAACTGAAGACTGGCTGCGAAGTGGCCAAGAGAAGTGGCTGAAACACGTTTTGGCCAAGACAAGTGCGGAGAGCCGCTCCGGAAGAGAGTCTGCAGCTGTTGTCGTCCGCATTTGGCCAAGAAATGAGCAACGGAGCTGTGCTTCAGCCAGCGAATCAGTGGTTCATTTAACTCAACTAGAAACTAACAAAAAAAATGTTTAAATTAGAGACATTGATACTATTTTAGTGAAAAACTGGACCTAATGTTGTTTTAGAGGAAAAGATAGAAGCCCATACAGTTGTAGAAAATACATTTTTTATACCCCAATTTAAATAAGCAAACATTTCTCGTCGCTTTAAAAAAGAAGTAAATATACAATAAAGAATAAAATAATTATGTTTCTATTAATAATATAATAATATTAATACTATTATAATTGGCCTTAGGTGAAAGCTGATAAAAGATTTAAAAAGTTAACTTCTTAGACAATGTAACTGAAAATCAATTAATAACGCAGTTTTTTACTAATTATACTTGTTTAAATGCTTACAACATTTTTTTTCTTTGTTCCAACTAATTTTTACTTTCGAAAGTAAATTAATATAGCTTACATGTCCTTTACGGCATCTAGAGCCGCTTTACACGGCAAACTAAGAGCTTGAAATATCAGTTAGGTTAGCCAAGACTTGAGCCAAGTAAAAGCTTTATTGAAAATTTAAGCGGGAAAATATTTTAAAAACGAGAACGGAAGTTGACTTTGACAAGCCGAAGTTTTTATACCCCGAAGTCACACTGAAAATCCTGCCGTGCAAATCCGGAAAAATTAATTTTTATTTCGGTTTTTTGATGAAAACCCTGGGAAATAATGGTCAGATGTTGGAATGCCATACCTCACTGAATTCGTTATAAAATTTACAATCAGATGGCATTCACAGCTAAAAAATTTCATTTTGGTCGATTTTTGGCAAAAATGGATGATGTAACCCCTTATCAATAATGACAAAATCCGGAGATCCTGAAAAACCCACTTTTATTTCGGTTTTTTGATCAAAACCATGGGAAATAATTGTCAGATGTTGGAATGTCATACATCACTGAATTCGTTATAAAATTTCCAATCGGATGGCATTCTCAGCTAACAAATTTCAAATCAGTCGATTTTTGGCAAATATTAATGATGTAACCCCTTATCAAAAATGTCAAAATCCGGAGATCCGGAAAAACCCACTTTTATTTCCGTTTTTTGATGAAAACCCTGGGAAAAAATGGTCAGATGTTGGAATGCCATACCTCACTGAATTCGTTATAAAATTTCCAATAGGATGGCATTCACAGCTAAAAAATTTCAAATCAGTCGATTTTTGGCAAATAATAATGATGTTACCCCTTATCAAAAATGCCAAAATCCGGGGATCCTGAAAAACCCACTTGTATTTCGGTTTTTTGATAAAAACCCTGGGAAATAATGGTCAGATGTTGGAATGTCATACCTCGTTGAATTCGCTACAAAATTTGCGATCGAGTGGCATACACAGCTAGCAAATTTCATTTGAGTACATATTTTGAAAAAATTAATAAACTTACCCCTTATAAAAAATGCCAAAACCAGTACATTTTTTTTTTTTAATCATTCTGGAATTAATATTTTAGGTCCTCAGCTGCACCAAAAGTCATTCTTTTGTCTAAGTTAGAACAAAAAACCCTTAGAAAATGTTATTAAAGACCAAAATCCGGAAAAAGCAACTCGAATTTCCTTTTTTATCAAAGCTGATACATTGTTTAATTCGTTATTGATTTCCCATCGATTGGCATTCGCAGTCGAAGTTAATATACCCTTGAAGCTGTTACAAAAAAAATATGTCATTTAGCTCTAAAATTGAGAGACTAGCTTGTATAGTTTATTTATTGAGAATAGAACTTTAAAATAAAAATCACAAAATTTTAAAAATTACAATTACATACAAATTTATAACAAAGTCTCAATTTCCAAAATTAATTTCTGTATTTTCCGGCATCTTTACTTGTCCAACAGAGAAGACTTCAAATCTAATTTGGGCCAAGTAGGGACGAACAAATTAGGTCGATTTCCCTTATCATATGTCATGGTCCAAATCGTGAGGTTTAACCCACTTTAAGTCAAATCTCGAGCCTGGCAAATAAATTACAAAGCCAAACAGCCCGGCGGCCGAGGAGCGAGGGCAGTATAGAATCCTTTGATTGACGATAGATGTCCCCCGCTCCACATAAAGCTTTCCTATTCGCATCCAAGGAGTAGGAGTGGGAGGACCAAGCAAAGATTGGCATGTGACGAGGAATGGGAATCGAGGGGCATGGGCAAAAGCCCCTGCAGGGCATCGATTGCATGGGCCAACGCTGCGGATGCGTGATATAAGTGTAACACGGCGACTGCAGCAGATATGCAAATGATGTGATGTGCTGCGATGTGACAGGGACAACTGTGCAGCTAGTTAAGCGAGTATGTAATCGCCTGCGGACGGGATTCTAGCACACGGATTGGCATCTTTCGGAATTCCAGTTGTCCACCTGTCCACCTGTAGCCGATAAGTAAGCAATATGCCAAGTGCCGTCAGTTGGCTCTGTCTGCTGCTTTTGATATTTTTTAATCTATTCGCAGACGCCGGCAGCTGCCACTGACAACACAATTTTCACGCAGTTCTTTCCCATGGCGCATAATGTAAGGGAATACCTTTTTTTCTGACATTATTATGTCAGTTATCCGATGCTCTTATTTTCATTTCAAAGGTATTTGTTCTGTTTTGCGTTTGACTGAATTATTAATGTGAGTCTTTGACCTTGCTGTGTTCACAAAAGTTCACTCCTTTTTTTTTGGCAACTCTCTGCTACCCCCTCTTGTTTTATTTACTACTTTTAGAGCCAACTTGAACTGTGGCATTTTCCCAAGCAGAAAGAAATATGAAAACCGCAGCGGTGCAGTCGAGTGGAAAAATGATATTTTAGTGCAGCAGCTACACGCATCGGATTTTCTTGTGGTTTATTTCCCCAACCATTCTCTTTATTTGTGTGTAAAATGCCAGAAAATGTGTAAGTGATTTTTTTTAAGTATGCCGTAGAGCTACTCCTCGTTTTCTGTTGGCTTTAAGCCCATGTAGTAGTTGGAAATCAAAGCACCTATTTGTTTGATTCCTTTTTTATTATTCAAGAGCACAAACCACAAACTATAAATCTATTGTAAACGGACTCTGCATATTACAATGCCTCGTTAACATGCCGATAATACGTGATGCGTGCGGAACACATGTGACCCCTTCAAATGTCATAACTCGAGAGTTCGCAAAATGTTTGTAAGCTGGAAAGAATAGTGAGGATCCTGAGGGCAGGCCACAGACACGTACTTAAGACACAATTCAGCCGGCGATTTGTCATTATTTTGCATGCAACCGACCGGAAACGGAAGCGAAAACAAAAACTCCTTTCGCTCAACTTTGTTCAATTGCGTCTTGACTGTTTGCCTACAAGTTTGTCAGAGTTCCTGCGAACTTTTCAGAGTTTTCAGAGCAATGCAGCTGAAGGGTGGGAATGCCTATCCTCCCTTAACCCACTGTTGCCCGCTGATAAATGAGCAACCCATGATTTGGCCAAACTTGTCAGCGCCATTCTCACTGTTTGTCTTTTACATTTTGGCAACAATGTCGGGACAGCTGCCAATTCTGGGGTGAAGCAGCTGAGATGAGGGCAATTGTTGCTGTTCCACTTCGCTGCTACTTTGACATTCGCAGTCCTCAAAAAAAGGGAGGTTAAAGTGTACTTGGTCAGTCATATGTCCCATATTTGCCTTTCGACTTGCACGTCACAGTGAGCAGTCTTTTTCTAGCTTGTCTTAAAGTATAAGGCTTTAAGAACTAAAGACTAAAAACTTCATTATGTTTTTTAATATTAAAGAATTGTATTGCAAAACAAAGGCATTGACAAACAGAATTACTTAAGCACTAACGAATTGTTTTCAATTCAACTGTTTTCATCACTCTTAATTCCTTAGCATGCCCAGTCTGTTTCGCAATCCCATGGAGTTTTCATCATCTGCTCACTATGATGGAACTGCTTCGCCGACTAAAGCTAATTTGATTGAAAAGGGTTCAACCTCGCAGCTCCCTCGATCATCAAACAAACGCCATCCCACGCAACAGCAAACAAATAAAGTCAACGAAACGAAAAAAGAGATTTATTTTATCAGGATTCAAAGTTCGCCATTTGGACGCCAGTTTTTGGGCCGGAAAAAAACGTTGCCAAGTCTGACCATCGATTTGGCAAAAGTCAGAAACAAGGAAATTAATTAGACAAGTGCCAGATTTGGTCACTTTTGCAATGTTTTCAGCTGGAAATACAAGAATTTTGAATAAACAACAAAGATGGTTCAACGACTTTGTGAGTTATAAAATAAATAATCGGAATTTGACTTTTGGCAGGAGATTCATCAAAAAGATTAAAAGAAATTTTAAATGTCTCAAACTTCACGCCTTATTTAAAGAGACACGAAAGATTTATAAATGGAAATTTAATAGCTTAACCTAAACTTTATTTAAATTGACAAAGAAACATTTTAGAAATAATATATTCTGAAGTGTTATTCAGTCCTTCTGACCTTCGACGCATTTGAAACAAAGGAAGGTTTAGAAAGGATTGTTGGTGGCTTTTGGCATCTTTATAGAAATTCCTGCGCCGTCTTTGTTTTGTCTATTGACAAATGCATAAATCGGGGGCAGTTTAATCTTTGCGGCTGTCCCATTCAGTTAAGCGTACGAATGTGACAATTCGGGCGAATGTCCTTTTTACTATTTGCTCAGCCGGGAAAAGGACTCGTGACTTTGGCCGGGTTGAGTGGCCCAGCTCAAGGCAATTGGCTTGATGCGGGTCTCCTCTTTTTAACGTATTCAAATACGAGTGGGCTGTTTCGTTTATTTTACGCCTTCGGAACTCGGTTTATTCTATCTCCAATCGATTCGAGTGTCAATTTTCAAGTGCGGATAATGACATTCCCTGCGGTTGGACCACGATACATTCGACTGCCACTTTCGCTTGCACTTAATTTGAATATTCGGCTGGCAAGGAAACTCAAATCAATACCTGGCTAATTGCCGGTTTCTCAGATGGCGGCTTTTGCCTGCCAACTCTTGTTTCAAGTTAATTAAATTCCTTCACTGCCACACGAGGCGTATGCTTGATGTCACCCAAATTCCAGGTGCTCCTCCCCCCTCCTTCGTTCCTTCTTTTCTCGCCTAATAATGATGCTCGTGCTGGCAGGGTGTCGGATTTTTGAAGTTTGTCCTGCTCCCTCGGCAATTAGCTGCTAAAATCACTCCCCTTCGCATCCTGGAAACGTGGGTGAGCTCTAGGATTACACTCTAGGATTGGTAGCCAACGGAGCGAGGGTGGCCCATGGTGGCTCTTGTGGCATTTGGCCAACCGCCAACTGTGATTGCTCCCGAAAGGAGCTTAAAGTCAGCCTCCGGGGGGGTGGTGAATGGTGAATGGTGAATGGCGTGCCACTTGACCGCTGGCCATAAAGTTGCAAATGCTTAAAATAGACCCACATCCGGGGTTAAGTGCGGGGTGGGTGATACACGAAGTAGGGAGCGGTGCTGCAGGATGTGAAGTGTAGGGGGTCCTGGCACGCTTGTATAATTCCCAGTTAATATAAATCAGCAGGTGGTGATTTGGCTTCTGAGTTGCTGAACCATAAACTGGGTATAGTAAAATATTTTGGGGAACATTAAAGTATATTCTTGAGTATATGTAGTAAGAGCCGACTTATATTATATGAATGTGGTTTAGCCTAAGCCACATCCATCAACATAAATCAATGCTCACATTTAACTGAGAATGTCAATTATTGATTAGTGCTTTTTCATTCGTGATTAGTAATATGTCTCTGTTTGTAAAATGTGATTTGATTTAAAGGATTGCAAGAAAGACTTAAACTTCTCTTAGATCTTATGTTCTTTGATATGTTTTGGTTAGTTTTTGGTAAAAAAAAGAAATTCTTGTTCATTTCTACCATATCCCCCTAATACTTAATACCTCAATACTTTACTTCACAGTTAATTATTATTGGATGATTCTATGCAATTAAGTTATTATTAGCCATATTAGTTTGCTATCCAACTAGTCGTCAACAGCTAAAATTATTGAGTAACCTACTATTTGCTTAATTTAAGTCAATGACAACATCAGAGGCTGTCGTTAACATGTTTACCCATTCAATGCCTCTTTTATGATTATTATTTGTATCCCATTTAGGCATTTAAAATGCATAGCCAGATGTATTGGGGGCGGTGAACTTGGAGACTATAACCTTTAGACTATGGCGTCAGCGTCGCCGAGGAAAATTCGAGCCTCTTGGCGACAAAACGCCCACGCATAAACATACGTACGTGCAGAGAGGTGGAAAATTCGAGGGAAAATGCGTGTGAGTGGCCCCAAAGTGCCCTCATGCTTATTGAGTGCCAATTTTTATGCCCCTAATATGTGTGTGTGTGGATTAGTACTATGCCGGGCAATTTACGATTAGCCAGGACCCTTCGTCACGCCGAAGCCCCCATCCATTTTCCCAGCCGCTTTCCCAGGAAAACCCAACGCCGTTAAGCTGCCGTGCTTTGCACCTTGAGGATTCGTGTTTACATATGCGTCTCTGAGCGTCTGAAATCGTTTTATTTATTTACCATGGCAATTTTCCCCGCTTCTCACCACCCAAATCCCATTCCCATCCATATGTCTTATAGGGTCTTGCCATTATTATTGTTATTGCTATTGCTATGTTGTCTCTGGGTTTGTTTCCATTCGCGTGTGGCGGTGTTATTGTGTTCCTCATTACGACTCGGCATTTGTTTTTGTGGTTTTGAAGTGTCAAGACACTTGGCGCTTGTCTAACTTCAATTAATATTAATGGCCGTTTAGCCGGGAACTGTGGAATTAAACACACTCTCATATGGCTATTAAATTGGCTAAATAAAGTCTCCCCAAAAGCAATAAAAATAGGACGCAGCATAGGGAACATTTCTCAGTTAATATTGGTAGCTCTTTAAAGGGATTTCAATTTGAGAAGTATGGTAAAATATGTAGAGCAGCTTCTAAGAATTATAATTTGCACAATAAGAGGCTTAAGAGCTGAAAACTGATCATTAGTACAAAGCTGTCTGTGCTTGATAAATTGGTCTGTTTAAATAAATCGATAAGCAGGGAAAACAAATGATAAATTAAGCTAAAGATGAAAGATAATATAATTAAAATTAATTCAGGCAAAAGTTGATAAACTCTGGTGAGCTAATAACTTCCCAATTAAGTGTTGAATTAGTATTTAAACATTTTGCAGACGATACCTCTTATCTTTGGGGTTTATTAAGTTTCCAGTTAACTTCTGTTCGTAAGTACAATAGAACTTGATAAAAAAATAGTTACTGAGAATTTGAATGATTGCCTTGTCGTGAATGTTCAATTAAATTGACTAATTTTGTGTTCGTTGACGGTGCTTATCGCCAGCTAATTCGCATATAAAGGGTTCCGTTCGATGGGAGACCTTCAATACGATTTGAGTCACAATGGTCAACGCAGTCGGCGTAGTTATTCTCTGTGGGCTTTTCCACATCAGTGTTTCCCAATCAAATGAGGAAGATGTCCTGCCGGACTTAAATCACTTAGAGAAACTCAGGTCCCTGGAATTTGAGTTTGCCAAAGGCTTTCAGGATTTTGGAGCAATCGACTCTGAATTGCCAAGTGATGATGATCGGTGCATTGAAGATATGGCTGCATTAACGGCGGGACTTCAGAAAGGTCAACTCTGGGCCTTGAAAAGTAAGTGAACTTTGGGCCAAAAGGGACTAACATTTTAATGGCCATGTTATCTGTGTATTACGTCAGTGATGGACTCTTGGGGCTCCACACCCTCTGGTATGCTGACCGGGAATTTTTACGACCTCGGAAACTTCGACGAGTGCATCAAAATCAGAACAGAAGTCAGCCAGAACAGAACCATCCAAGGCAAATACTGTTTCCGTTCGGTGAATTTGGTGGGCAAAAGTGGCACTTGCATACCGGCATCTTGTTCGGCGGCCCAGATGAAGAGCTATGTGGGTCAACTGGCGAAGTTGTCACCCAAATCGGGGATCCCCAGCACCGGCATAACAGTCAGCGATTCCAGTTGCCAGACCAGCGAAAGTGAACCCTGGGATGGACTCACCATTTTTATGGTGTAAGTGTGACGACATTTTAATTGTTTAATTATTTTATGGCTAACACCTACTGATTGCAGAACTATCTTATCGGTGTTGGGTTCCCTGGTGGCTTTGTTTACGCTGTGGGACTATTTTCTAATCACGGATCAAGGTGATTATTCACGTAACTTATCTGTGTTTTAGAACTCACTATAATTATTAACCTATAGATAGGATTCCTGCAATCGTAAAGGTCTTTTCGGCCAGGGTCAACTCCCGCACGCTCTTTCGCGTTGTGGAAAACGCATCGAATCCCAATGCAATCCACTGCCTACATGGAATTCGGTGCCTGTCCCTCATGTGGGTGCTCTTCTGCCATCAATACATAATGGATATCGTGTCGACTAATATTAATATGTTCAGTGTTGTATCGGTAAGCGAATGGCTTGGACTATTACGAACAATTTAATATATTACTTTTAATTTTCAAGTGGGAGAGGACGCCCTTTGCCAGTTTAATCATGAATGGCTTTTACTCAGTGGACTCGTTTTTCATGCTCGGCGGCTTGTTGGTGGCCTTGATTACGCTGCGATTAATGGATAGGTAAGACCATTAGACTATAAAAGGTCAGAAAACATTAATAAATGTAATTTTATGGTCTAAACAGAACTAAAGGGAAACTAAATGTGCCTTTGATGTACCTACATCGCTTGATCCGCATAGTGCCCCTTTTGGGAATGGCCATCGTTATCTACATGACCCTCATGCCAGTCATATCAGGCGGACCACTTTTTGTGGGTGGTTTCGGTGGAAAGGCGACGTGTGAAGACAGTTGGTACTGGACATTGCTGTTCGTGAATAACTATACCAGCAAAATCGTGAGTTTGTGCTCCTATCAAACTTGACCAAATCTTATAGAAGTCTATGGCGTTTCAGTGCCTCGGCCATACTTGGTATTTGTCGGTGGACATGCAGCTGTTCCTCATCTCCCCGCTCCTGCTGATCGCTCTCTACAATTGGGGCAAGAAGGCTGCCGCTGGGATATTCGTCCTCATAGTCCTGCTTTCCGGCTGCCTCTTTGCCACCATGATGGTCAACGACTACTCGATGACGTTCAAGTAAGCGTTGATGACAAGAACTTGTACTGCGGAACTTCTTCACAGCTCTTTTTGTCCAGGGACATATCCTCCGATGCCATGAAGTCCATTTACTTCGCCACCCATACTCATGCTCAGCCGTGGCTGATTGGCTTCCTCTTCGGCTACTTCCTGCACCTGAGCAGGGGCAAGAAGTTCCAGCTGAACTGGGTGGCAGTATGGGGAGGATGGATCCTCAGCCTGGCCCTAATCTTCACCTCGATCTTCGCACTCTACCCGGCGGCCCAGAAGGGTGCTCCCGCACTGACCACCTTGGAGAACTCCTTCTACTACACTCTCACCCGATTGGGATGGCCCATGGCCTTGTGCTGGGTGGTCTTCGCCTGCATGCAGGGATACGGAGGACTGGCCAACAGTTTGCTATCATCACCCCTGTGGCAACCACTCTCCAGACTTTCCTACGCCGTCTACATTTGGCACGAGTTCTTCCAGGAGATTAACTCCCGAAGTGTCAGGACAGTTTCCTACTTCTCGGATTACAGAACGGTGGGTTAAAGCCTAATTACGAAATGCAAGAGGTTGACCTTTACAATTACATTCTTTCAGATGGTTAACTTTTGGGCAACCTTTGGCTTCACACTGCTGTTTTCCTATTTGACCTACTTGCTCATTGAGGCCCCATTCAGTGGGCTTGACCTTTTCCTGAGGCCAAAAGAAAAACGCCCTCCTGTTATCAATCAAAAGTCAATAATCAGTGATAACGCAATCAGTGACCTAGAAAATGCTAACGAAACCACTCCCACAACTGATGCAGATCAGGAACCAAAGTAATCTAAAGTTTTGGAAGTCTTCGTATTGAATTAAAGTTGAATGCAAAAATTAAGTGTTTGTTTATTGTTCATAAATCTATATACTTAAATTTGTTATTGTGCTCCCAAAAGTAACTATTTCGAAGACAATTTTACTAAAAAATAGTAAGCCAACGACGGCCAAATATGAACAATTTATATTTTGTATAGTTACAAAGCTCTGCGCATTGGTCAATGAAACACAAAATTTACTGTTATAATGATAGTTAAAATACACACAAATTATTCTTCCCCCTGAACGACCCAAAACACAATCCCAATGAAAACCGAAATTCTACTATGATATAAGTTTATTTTTTATTTAAAACAATGTATGTTACTTTACTTAGTATGTAGTTTTTAGATAAAATATTTTACCTTATAATAATAATCTTATCCAGAGAAACCAGCTTAATTTCTTACTGATGTTTGAAATAATGGTCACATGTTGGAATGTCATACCTCATTGAATTCGTTATAAAATTTCAGTCGATTTTTGGCAAATATTATTGATGTAACCCCTTATCAAAAGTGCCAAAATCCGAAGATCCTGGAAAACCCACTTTTATTTCCAATGGATGATGTAACCCCTTATCAAAAATGCCAAAATCCGAAGATCCGGAAAAACCCACTTTTATTTCGGTATTTTGAGCAAAACCCTGGGAAATAATTGTCAGATGTTGGAATGCCATACCTCATTGAATTCGTTATAAAATTTCCAATCGGGTGGCATTTACAGCTAAAAAATTCACGAATCAGTCGATTTTTGGCAGATATTAATGATGCAACCCCTTATAATTCGTTATAAAATTTCCAATCGGATGGCATTCACAGCTAAAAAATTTCATTTTGGTCGATTTTTGGCAAAAATGGATGATGTAACCCCTTATCAAAAATGCCAAAATCCGAAGATCCGGAAAAAACCCACTTTTATTTCGGTTTTTTGAGCAAAACCCTGGGAAATAATTGTCAGATGTTGGAATGCCATACCTCAGTGAATTCGTTATAAAATTTCCAATCGGGTGGCATTTACAGCTAAAAAATTCACGAATCAGTCGATTTTTGGCAGATATTAATGATGCAACCCCTTATCAAAAATGCCAAAATCCGAAGATCTGGAAAAACACACTTTTATTTCGGTTTTTTGATCAAAACCCTGGGAAATAATTGTCAGATGTTGGAATGCCATACCTCATTGAATTCGTTATAAAATTTCCAATCGGATGGCATTCACAGCTAAAAAATTTCATTTTGGTAGATTTTTGGCAAAAATGGATGATGTAACCCCTTATCAAAAATGCCAAAATCCGAAGATCCGGAAAAACCCACTTTTATTTCGGTTTTTTGATCAAAACCCTGGGAAATAATTGTCAGATGTTGGAATGCCATACCTCATTGAATTCGTTATAAAATTTCCAATCGGGTGGCATTCACAGCTAAAAAATTTCATTTTGGTCGATTTTTGGCAAAAATGGATGATGTAACCCCTTATCAAAAATGCCATAATCCGAAGATCTGGAAAAACCCACTTTTATTTCGGTTTTTTGAGCAAAACCCTGGGAAATAATTGTCAGATGTTGGAATGCCATACCTCATTGAATTCGTTATAAAATTTCCAATCGGGTGGCATTTACAGCTAAAAAATTCACGAATCAGTCGATTTTTGGCAGATATTAATGATGCAAACCCTTATCAAAAATGCCAAAATCCGAAGATCCGGAAAAACCCACTTTTATTTCGGTTTTTTGATCAAAACCCTGGGAAATAATTGTCAGATGTTGGAATGCCATACATCACTGAGTTCGTTATAAAATTTCCAATCGGATGGCATTCACAGCTAAAAAATTTCATTTTGGTCGATTTTTGGCAAAAATGGATGATGTAACCCCTTATCAAAAATGCCAAAATCCGAAGATCTGGAAAAACCCACTTTTATTTCGGTTTTTTGAGCAAAACCCTGGGAAATAATTGTCAGATGTTGGAATGCCATACCTCATTGAATTCGTTATAAAATTTCCAATCGGATGGCATTCACAGCTAAAAAATTTCATTTTGGTCGATTTTTGGCAAAAATGGATGATGTAACCCCTTATCAAAAATGCCAAAATCCGAAGATCCGGAAAAACCCACTTTTATTTCGGTTTTTTGATCAAAACCCTGGGAAATAATTGTCAGATGTTGGAATGCCATACCTCGTTGAATTCGTTATAAAATTTCCAATCGAGTGGCATTCACAGCTAAAAATTTCATTTTGGTCGATTTTTGGCAAAAATGGATGATGTAACCCCTTATCAAAAATGCCAAAATCCGAAGATCCGGAAAAACCCACTTTTATTTCGGTTTTTTGATCAAAACCCTGGGAAATAATTGTCAGATGTTGGAATGCCATACATCACTGAGTTCGTTATAAAATTTCCAATCGGATGGCATTCACAGCTAAAAAATTTCATTTTGGTCGATTTTTGGCAAAAATGGATGATGTAACCCCTTATCAAAAATGCCAAAATCCGAAGATCTGGAAAAACCCACTTTTATTTCGGTTTTTTGAGCAAAACCCTGGGAAATAATTGTCAGATGTTGGAATGCCATACATCACTGAATTCGTTATAAAATTTCTAATCAGATGGCATTCACAGCTAAAAAATTTCATTTTGGTCGATTTTTGGCAAAAATGGATGATGTAACCCCTTATCAAAAATGCCAAAATCCGAAGATCTGGAAAAACCCACTTTTATTTCGGTTTTTTGAGCAAAACCCTGGGAAATAATTGTCAGATGTTGGAATGCCATACCTCATTGAATTCGTTATAAAATTTCCAATCGGATGGCATTCACAGCTAAAAATTTCATTTTGGTCGATTTTTGGCAAAAATGGATGATGTAACCCCTTATCAAAAATGCCAAAATCCGAAGATCCGGAAAAACCCACTTTTATTTCGGTTTTTTGATCAAAACCCTGGGAAATAATTGTCAGATGTTGGAATGCCATACCTCATTGAATTCGTTATAAAATTTCCAATCGGGTGGCATTCACAGCTAAAAAATTTCATTTTGGTCGATTTTTGGCAAAAATGGATGATGTAACCCCTTATCAAAAATGCCAAAATCCGAAGATCCGGAAAAACCCACTTTTATTTCGGTTTTTTGATCAAAACCCTGGGAAATAATTGTCAGATGTTGGAATGCCATACATCACTGAGTTCGTTATAAAATTTCCAATCGGATGGCATTCACAGCTAAAAAATTTCATTTTGGTCGATTTTTGGCAAAAATGGATGATGTAACCCCTTATCAAAAATGCCAAAATCCGAAGATCTGGAAAAACCCACTTTTATTTCGGTTTTTTGAGCAAAACCCTGGGAAATAATTGTCAGATGTTGGAATGCCATACATCACTGAATTCGTTATAAAATTTCTAATCAGATGGCATTCACAGCTAAAAAATTTCATTTTGGTCGATTTTTGGCAAAAATGGATGATGTAACCCCTTATCAAAAATGCCAAAATCCGAAGATCTGGAAAAACCCACTTTTATTTCGGTTTTTTGAGCAAAACCCTGGGAAATAATTGTCAGATGTTGGAATGCCATACCTCATTGAATTCGTTATAAAATTTCCAATCGGATGGCATTCACAGCTAAAAAATTCATTTTGGTCGATTTTTGGCAAAAATGGATGATGTAACCCCTTATCAAAAATGCCAAAATCCGAAGATCCGGAAAAACCCACTTTTATTTCGGTTTTTTGATCAAAACCCTGGGAAATAATTGTCAGATGTTGGAATGCCATACCTCATTGAATTCGTTATAAAATTTCCAATCGGGTGGCATTCACAGCTAAAAATTTCATTTTGGTCGATTTTTGGCAAAAATGGATGATGTAACCCCTTATCAAAAATGCCAAAATCCGAAGATCCGGAAAAACCCACTTTTATTTCGGTTTTTTGATCAAAACCCTGGGAAATAATTGTCAGATGTTGGAATGCCATACATCACTGAGTTCGTTATAAAATTTCCAATCGGATGGCATTCACAGCTAAAAAATTTCATTTTGGTCGATTTTTGGCAAAAATGGATGATGTAACCCCTTATCAAAAATGCCAAAATCCGAAGATCTGGAAAAACCCACTTTTATTTCGGTTTTTTGAGCAAAACCCTGGGAAATAATTGTCAGATGTTGGAATGCCATACATCACTGAATTCGTTATAAAATTTCTAATCAGATGGCATTCACAGCTAAAAAATTTCATTTTGGTCGATTTTTGGCAAAAATGGATGATGTAACCCCTTATCAAAAATGCCAAAATCCGAAGATCTGGAAAAACCCACTTTTATTTCGGTTTTTTGAGCAAAACCCTGGGAAATAATTGTCAGATGTTGGAATGCCATACCTCATTGAATTCGTTATAAAATTTCCAATCGGATGGCATTCACAGCTAAAAAATTTCATTTTGGTCGATTTTTGGCAAAAATGGATGATGTAACCCCTTATCAAAAATGCCAAAATCCGAAGATCCGGAAAAACCCACTTTTATTTCGGTTTTTTGATCAAAACCCTGGGAAATAATTGTCAGATGTTGGAATGCCATACCTCATTGAATTCGTTATAAAATTTCCAATCGGGTGGCATTCACAGCTAAAAAATTTCATTTTGGTCGATTTTTGGCAAAAATGGATGATGTAACCCCTTATCAAAAATGCCAAAATCCGAAGATCCGGAAAAACCCACTTTTATTTCGGTTTTTTGATCAAAACCCTGGGAAATAATTGTCAGATGTTGGAATGCCATACATCACTGAGTTCGTTATAAAATTTCCAATAGGATGGCATTCACAGCTAAAAAATTTCATTTTGGTCGATTTTTGGCAAAAATGGATGATGTAACCCCTTATCAAAAATGCCAAAATCCGAAGATCTGGAAAAACTCACTTTTATTTCGGTTTTTTGAGCAAAACCCTGGGAAATAATTGTCAGATGTTGGAATGCCATACATCACTGAATTCGTTATAAAATTTCTAATCAGATGGCATTCACAGCTAAAAAATTTCATTTTGGTCGATTTTTGGCAAAAATGGATGATGTAACCCCTTATCAAAAATGCCAAAATCCGAAGATCTGGAAAAACCCACTTTTATTTCGGTTTTTTGAGCAAAACCCTGGGAAATAATTGTCAGATGTTGGAATGCCATACCTCATTGAATTCGTTATAAAATTTCCAATCGGATGGCATTCACAGCTAAAAAATTTCATTTTGGTCGATTTTTGGCAAAAATGGATGATGTAACCCCTTATCAAAAATGCCAAAATCCGAAGATCCGGAAAAACCCACTTTTATTTCGGTTTTTTGATCAAAACCCTGGGAAATAATTGTCAGATGT